ATTTATGAGAGAGAAAAAAATAATATATAACAACTAATAATGATAAAAAATAAATAAATAACTATATTATAATTATCTTTGAAAAAACAAAGGTGCAGAAACAAAAGAAACCCMAACAGAACTATACTTGATGTTTATTAAATATTTCACTATTTTTTCTATAAATTATTTACTTATTAAAATCCCTTTTTATTTTGTTTTGCCGAGTCTTATAAATAGGTAGTAGACTCACAAAAAAATATATTACCATGGCATATTTAGGTAGAACCATAGTCCATAGTCCACATGTCTATAATATTTATTCACAAATGTGTCGTACATAAATTGAATAATAGATTGGGAGATAACATATGAAGTCCCGTAAAAAAAAACCTAATACATTTTTTTTAGAAAATGTCGTCTATATACGTATGTTATACGTATATAACCTCTCTCGGTTTCGCTCAGAAATACCTTTTCTCAAAAATTACTGGACTCTTTAAGAATGCGATGGTATAGTAAATTGAACGACCTATTTTAGCGTGGAAGATAAGATGTCTAGCGCCCTGAAATCTGAATCCAAAGAATTTGACTCGTCGACGTTACTCGATAAATGTTTTACTATTTTTACTAGCGAGATATTATTTAATGTTATACGAAAAGCTGATTTCGCAAAGTATAATGGCGACTGCAGGTAGACACGAAGAGGACGTAWTATACCTACCTATTTGTATTTATAGTGGAYAACATGCAAATCGAACGGTTTTTGCCGCGAAATGTTGGTCTACGTACAACGAACGACTATTCTGAATGCGACGACAAAGGGCAACCTCCACCCCTTCCCCCCATTCAAAAACAAAAAAAAAAAATCGTAAACGTATATTATGGGTACCATACCCGGATGGTTTTGCTTGAGGTGCTTCTTGTACGACGAGGCCTGTATACACGAGTAATCGCACCACGGGCACGTGTAATTCTTCACGCCGGTGTGACGCATCTTGTGCTTGCGCAGCGTGTTGTGGTCGGCGGTCTGGAAGTCGCACTCGTCGCACGCGAACGGCTTCTCGCCGGTGTGCAACCGCTGGTGAAGCTTCAGCGAGCTGGCCGTGGCKGTCGCGTACCCGCACGTCTGGCAAGTGAACGGMCGCGCCCCGACGTGCACGCTGGATATGTGCAGGTGCAGCATGTGCTTGGTGCTGAAGCTGCGGCAACAGTTCTGGCACGTCAGCTCGGGCTTAGGCTCCGGCTTGGCGGTTTTCGTGTGGATTGCCTGTGTCGCGTTATAACATATTATTGTTGTCATCAGTTACGTATTATAAACAATAACTAGGTAATTGCAGTTGTGCTGTTGCTGATGAACATTATAATCATTTGTGTTAATGCAGTTGTGTGTCCACTGTTTTGTGACGTCAGACCCAACAATACCATTTGTTTTTACATTTCAAAATATTAAAACAGTCATATAATAATATGTATTTGTGAAATAATCAATTTTTTATATTAAGTGTACAGTGTCTATTCTAGCCTCTAGGCGTCTAAGTAAATCACGAATCCATAGTTTGTGATTGCTGTATTTTTAGCGTTTTTTTCTTGACGTTTCAAGTGAATTGGATCGTACTATTTGTTTATCAAAAGAAAAAAAATGAATGGCTGAATATTGACCTTTTTATTATTACCTGCTACAATAATATTGTGGGACCGAGTTTCAGCTCAATCAAACATTTACTAAATTTTTACGAAATATTTTTAAAAAATTTCTTGTACAGGCACAAAAAAATACATATCATAGTAAAATCGCTCCGCTCAGAAT